AACATTGGAAATATTATGATAAAAATCATACACACAGCAATATGAGTATTTCCAGAAGTAACACCAGGCCAGTGGGAATTTCAACTAGGGCAGTGCAAGGGAATTGAAATGGGGGATCAGTTATGGATGGCTCGATACCTCCTCCACCGGGTCGCGGAACAATTCGGAGTTAGCGTGACGTTCCATCCGAAAGCCTGCGGTTAGTGACTTTTTGAGTCTTCACAAAGGAATGATTATGATAGCTCTGGGTTTATCATTAATATGGTTCACTTAAGGTAACAAGAGGAGACTGGAACGGTGCCGGCTGTCACTGTAATTTCTCGACTGATGACATGCGAGCTGAAGGAGGAATCAAAGCGATTGAAGCTGTATGTTCAACTCTCTATTACTTAACTTTTCTAATTTTTTGAAGAAGCCAATAATTCACCTTTAGTCATTTACTCCAACGACCATAGCTCCTTGTGGACAATTTTGTACAAAATGGAAATTTCTGTCAATTGCAAAAATATACTGCAAAGTTTCAACTTGAATGGTTATATGATTAGGAAGCTCAAGGTAAGGATGCGAGATGGACCAAAAGTGGAAAAAAGGGAGAAATGTCGTCAGAAACACAGAAAAAAAAACGAACCTCCTTGCTCTACGCTGCGGAGAAGTCCAAGAGGCAGATGCCCGACGGGGAGACGTTCGGCTCTCCTCCTAGGTCAGGTCACCAGGCTGCGCGATCATTGAAGCCTAAGGTTAAGCTTGGGTTTAGGCTTAGGCTTAGGCTTATGCTTACACATTGGCTTATGCTTAAGCCTATGATTTGGTCTAGACAGTTCTAGGCTTCTGCGAACAAATGAGTAGCGCCTTCATTAGAAGCAAACTCCGGGATTGAACTAGTGCTATCAGCGCTTCTGTAGTGATAGCTTAGCTGCGGAACGACCTGAAAGTGGGAAGGAAAGCAAGAGAAATCTTTGGGAACGCTGAAATTAAGGCCTTAACCTTCAACAGGTCGGATGTGGTACGATGGCGAGACAGGGCGGTCAAAGAAGACAAAATACGCGAGAGAGCACGTCGTTTGAGAGAGCACGCTGATCTCTACATCAATGCACGCTGATCTCACCACATCTCGCGGTGGGTGGGAAGCGTTCGATGGTTGGAGGCCCGTAAGGATTAGCGCCCTAACCGCGCAATTTTCGCGACGAAGCTGGAGTGATCTAGGTAGTTACAGACTTGCAATTTCCCTGGGGCCGTAAGGTATGCTTCCCCGAAGGGTTAGGGGACGAAAATCCCTTTAAATTTTCTCTGTCTTCCCAACTGGGATTGTCCTGATAAAGGGCCTACATTTAATATGTGTGTAGGTTAAAGTAACATGCACTGAAAATGAAGAAACAGTATCGTTCAAAACAAATAAATTTAAAGGGATTTTCGTCCCCGCAACCATTCGGGGAAGCATACCTTACGGCCCCTGGTGGTATCCCTCCCACTAGTCGGGCCAATCCCGGGGTTTGCTTTTAAGTAAGCTGACTTGAGAAGGTGAACTGAAGCGCACCCCGAACTCGCAACCTGAAGCGGAATCGTAGGCGCTAGACGCTTTAGTGAACCGTTTTGAAGTGCTAAGTTGTCGCGAATTCTACAGTTGCGGACCTAACACCTTTATTCTCAAGAGGGACCTCTCAGGGAGGCTGTGCCCGACTTTTATCTTTGAGGATGACAAGCGCACTTCTTCCTGTGTGGTGAATTCCTTCCAGTAATTTCGAACAGTCCCTTCCGGAAATTGCTTTAGCCTCTCAAAGTCACATCTTCATCGAAAGACGCTGATTGAAGCGGGTATTTGTCAAGCTTGTCCAAGGATGTGCTGTGCATCCAACGCGTATCGCTATTTCCATTCCCTCCCGAGCAGAACGTCGGTGCTCTGATCACGACTGACCCCTACATTTACGACGTCTTCTTCTCATTGAATCTAACTCAAACATCGGTGAGGATCCCTGAAGGCATGCTTGAGCCCAGTTCGCAACGAACTGTTGTGCGCGGTCAAACCCTTTCATTCGCATTTCGTTTGATCCAGAATGTTCAACACAGTGGTGTATAACATTGCTGTCGAACTCTGGGACCATCTATAGAACGTTTTTGCTCACATAATTCGCATAAAATCCCTGTATGACATCATCTGCTTCTCCTTGTCTCATATCCTGTTAATGAAACGGCAGACAGTAATTATTGGACACACTACTACAACTAAACACCGCGCGCAACTTCTGAAGTTACCATTTTTGCGAGCACAACAACCGCTGTGCTAGAGCTTGGCCAGGGTAAGTTGTCGTACTATCAATATGAAGCCTTTCTAAATACTAATAACTCAGCCCCACGAAAGCCTCCCTTCCACAGAAAATGCCCGATTGTTTGGCACTTTGTTTTTGGTGGGAAAGAGATGAATTTAGAAAAAAGAAACAAGTTTCTGTGATGACACATATAGAGGTTTTCTGATCAATTCAGTGACCTCCCAGCGATGATAACTCTCATGTGTTCAGGCCATGCCCAAGCTTGAAGCCACACATAAGGAGTGCATTCGCGTTTATGATCCACACGACGGTGAAGACAACAAACTCAGGTAATAGCTAGCGTTACCTACCATTAGGTATTTTGTAATTTTTGTAGTCGTACCACAGCTGTTACACAAATGTGTGTGTGTTCCTTCAGGAGAAAGTCTTCCCGCAATCGAATTTTTCCTGCCAATGAGTCAATTCGTAGATCTGGATTTGCTAGACTTGCTTGAGGGTAATGCTCAGTTGTTACGTGCTGCAGAAGTTGGACCAGGGTCAAGCGTGCGTTGAGGAATCCTCGACATGTCACAGAGGGGGGGGGGTCGTATTGGCCCGCTGGGGAGAGATCGGGCCCGATTGATACAGTAGGATCATCGTCGGAGGACAAACATTAAGGATCGAATCGATACCAGGCCAGAGTATTTCCAATAACAATTCGTGATGAGTGCGAGTTTTTACGCTTTCCAAAGCCATAACTCCGTTCAAACTCATGCAATCTGGAAAGTTAATACGTCATCATAAACTAGAAGATTTGCTCTTTCTAAGGCAACTAAAACTGCTAAATACGTTCACTATTTAAAAAATGGCCACGTTGAGGATTTTTGCCCGAGTACCGCCGAAAGGTACTTTTTCGCTACATTAGCACTATCCCAACGACTATAGCTCCTTGCAGGAGCGATTACATACTGAAGTAGGAGCAGATTCAAAATCCTCGTGCTTTTCTCTCTGCAAAAAGTGTAAAATTGTTTAGCGGGTCTCAACTTTAAAGGTTACATGCTTGTGAATTTGACGCTGAAGGCTGCGTTTCTTGTTGAATAGTGTACTCCTCTCTGTAATTTAACATGAACTCTTTCAGAACCCTCTTGATTCTTCCTGAATTAAGATTCGTTATCAAGATAGCCGTAGCTGAAGCGCGCGCAACCAACTGGGCCCACTCTGGGATGCGCCGTGTGCTTCACATCTCGTTGGATTTGAGGACCTACTTGAAAGATAAAATATCCCTTAGAAAACGTGCGAATTTCGGATCCTTTGACTTGTGTGGTGATGAAACACTAAAGTCCCTAAGAATTGCTAAGCGGACACCTCTAAATCACGAAGGTTTTGTGTGGACGGAATCAATTGTTATTGGAAATACTCTAGCCTGGTATCGATTTGATCCTTAACGTTTGTCCTCC